CCTACAGCACTAAACCAGGAGTCCTGTACTATTTATGCATATGTATACACACACACATTTATTTCAGCACAGAAAGAGCTTATTATCAGGATGCCAAAAGGAGATTACAGTTGTTAGTTTCTGTTCAATCGATTCCAAGTCATGAGAATAAAAAAAAAGAAGGAAAAAAAAAAAAAAACTAAAAAGATTTATTCTGTTGAATTTGGGAAACAAACCTTCCACAAATGAAAGCAAACTATTGATTTTTCTTCATTGTTCATAAAACCATACGAATCATGTGAAGAGAGTTGACTAAGAAATGAGAGAGCTCTAACCATATGCAGAAAACTACCAAAACTTCCAAACTCAGAGATACAAAATGGGAAACGCTGTGTGAGTTTAGGGCACCTGGCCAGTTTTAAAGCCACCAAAAACACAAGTCTAGAAAGAGATGAAACTGACTGAGCTATTGTAGGCACTATTACAAATACAGTCTTGCCTATCAAACTATGAAAGGAAGGAACTGCCAACAGGAAGTTACCCTGCCCCAGTCATGAGCCACCACTCCCTTCCTCTCCAAACTTCGGTGAGCTGAAGCAAACACTATATGTTAGGTTTACTAAGGCACCAACAAAGATGACAATACTGTAAGCTGATATCCATTATACTACTGTTTTAATAACTATTTATAGTAAGTGACTTTGTTGTTCTGAATGACAATTTTCTTGGAAATTTTATCTAAATTTTTCAATAACATTAGTTTAACATACCTGTCGTTTAATGACAATTTAATGTAGTCTGAAACTGCAATTTACCGATGAATTGTGAGTTAAGGGAATTTAGGACTAAGGATCAGCACAAGACTGCAAATCACAAGGTTGGCAGTTCAAACCCACCAGCTGCTCTTTGGAAACCCATATACAGTGTTGCTAACTCAGAACCAACTCCACAGTACTTAACAACTATATATATGTATATATATGTTGTTGTTGTTAAGTACCGTGGAGTCTGTTCTGACTAATAATCCCACTTTAAGCAATATAAAGGCAAAAATCATGAAAGAAAAGGCATTTATAATGCAGAAGGATGCTTGCCACATTATTAAAAGTTTTTTTTAATGTTTTATTGTGAATTATATGATAGTTTACATGGGAGAACTTTAGTTTTACATTCATTCCATCTTATATCATCTCACTGCCATGGTTCCAATCCCCTCCATGCATCATCAACCACCCAAAGAGTATATCCAAGAAACCCACCCCCTACACTTCCCCCCTCCTCCCCCCAGTTTTCGGCCCAAAGTCCCTTCCCCTCTCTGGGTCCAAGGTCTCCAGTCGCTTCATCTCTCCAC